AAACGTTGAGGTTAGCAAACACTTGTACGTTCTTCGATGTATTCGTAAGCAAAATAACGGATATGGTCACCACTCTGTCGAAAAATGGCTACGAAGAAGATTTTATTATTACTAGCATTGTGAAATGTATTTACAAAAATAAATTTATAAGTTATAAATACTCTATTGCAAATAACTATAAAAAGATAAGTAGGCTGGTTGAAGTATTCTCATTAGCAACGATGTTCAACACTAACTCTCATTTTATCGCTACAATTTTTATTTACCGTTGTAGTCAGCTCGACAGTGTCTTTTACTCAACCTTCCCTTAGTTTAGTTTCGTGCCTTTTTCTTTTTACTCAACAATAGCAAGTAACTAAAAAGATAACGTAGGTCCTGGTTAAAAGTATTCTCATTTAGCAAACGATGGTTCACACTAACTCTGCCGCCGAAGCTCTCATTTTTTTTCGACGCTACAATTTTTATTTACCGTTGTAGTCACAGGCTCGTACAGTGTCGTTTTAACTCAATCCTTCCTTAGTTTAGTTTTTGCTTTGTCCTTTTACTCACATTCCTTAGTTGGGTTTAGCCCATCTACTCCAATTCGCAATTTGCTTCCTCTAACACGTATTGTAAGTATCCAAACGTGTTAATAACATTCTCTCATTTTTACTGTACAATTCCTTCTCATTTTTATTGCATGAATTTTACACGTGAGCTTTTTCTACATGTTTTCTCTTTTTGTCCTATTTCTTAGCTCCTTCCCCTGTGTAGTCTATGTCCATGTGCTTCAACCCTGTCGTACTGACGAGCCCGGGGGTTGGTAAGACTTCGATGATTCGTCTACGACAACGGGCGAAACGGATCATCTGTGCTGTGGAGTGTATGCATTTCCCCAATGTTTGTTTTTCTTTGTTCTAATTGGATAAGGCACTCTGTATCCTACTAATTAAATCTCGTCATCCGGGCAGTTGATTAGGGCGGTCGTCAACGGGCCGCAGCGCGTGCCAGGAACTATTTGCTTTTCCAGGCTAATTTAGTCATTTTTCCACCTTGTGAAGATAAGGAGCTGCTAATCTGGGAAAAAGTAGCCAAAACAGTGAAAAGTTGGAAAAAATGACTAAATTAGCCTGGAAAAAGCAAATAGTTCCTGGCACGCGCTGCGGCCCGTTGACGACCGCCCTAATCAACTGCCCGGATGACGAGGGTATTAGGTTATGTCGTGTGTGTGTGTGTGTGTGTGTGTGTGTGTGCGTCTGTCTGTCTGTCACGAAATTCATAGCACCTGAAGAAGAGCCTGGCGGGGTCGGGTCAGGGTGGGGATGGATAGTGCATGGGACAAAACCTAAATAGCACCCATGACCCATGGTAAGCCCCGCCCACAGTGGGCGGGGCGTGCGTCAAAAGTTTGCGATTTCACTGAAAAAAGTCATAACTCGGTTCCAGAGGGTGTCCCGAGATGAGGAAACAGTGCAGTAGAGTTAACAAAGGCCTGACCGACCGAACAGAGGAGACACACTCGAAATGGGCGGGGCGTGCTTGAGATGGGCGGCGCTATCCCGTTGTCACTGTGAAAAACAGCTATAACTTGGCTACAGCAGCCCGGAGACGGGAAAAACTGGGTTAAGGTTGGCATTGGGTTGTCAGAGCAAATGGAGCAGACACACCCGAAATGGGCGGGGGCGTACTCGAGATGGGCGGCGCTTCCCACAAAAGTCGGTAATTCGGTCCCCGAAAATGTTTAGGGGTCGCAGAAAAGTCCATGACGAAGATTAACGTCTGGCAAGAGTCACCAGTCGTTTTACGTCTTGCGTGGTGACAGGCCCGCCTACAGTGGGCGGGGCGTGCATTTGAGCACGAGGAACAGTATAAAAAGTCGTAGTTTGGTCCCAAAGCACTGCAGAAATTGCCAAAATGTGGATTATGGTTTCCAAGTGAATCGAATGTAAGGATGTACGAGGCACTCCCGTTGTGGGCGGAGCCAACTTTTTAAAATTCGCGAAAAACGACGATTCCAGAGCAACTCCAAGACACCGGGGAAAAAGTAAGTGTGAATCAGCGACGGGTTATTAGTTGAGAAGCGCGAGGCATACGTTGTGGGCGGAGGCGTGCCCCGAGGTGGGTGGAGCCAAAATTCAGAAAATTCGCAAAACGGTTCCAGAGCACTCCAGACACCGGGAAAATGCAGTTTAAGATCAGCGAGGGGTTATTAGTCGAGAAACGCGGGGCATACGTTGTGGTGCGGAGCGTGCGCTGATGAAAGTAGAGCCAGTGTTAGAAATTCCTCAAGCGGTTCCAGAGCACACCAGCCGCCCCTCCAGCTCCTCTGTGCATACAGCCGCCCTCTCTCTCGGCGCGCTTCCGTGCGCCTACTCTGGCATTCGTGAGTCAACGCTGGACCAAATACTGTCTCCGGCTTTTGCCTCTCATCTCTCCACTTGATCAACGCTCCTTTCCACCATTTCATGCTCCGTAAATGTGTTGAAAATAGCAGGTATGGTGCTATTGGTGAAATAATGTTGATCATCCGTTCAGATGAAAGAAAAGCCGGAGACTAGGTTGGTACTGAAATGTGTGAAAAAAGGTAAGCGCGGAGGAGCTGCGCCTGCCCGGCGAAGCCGTGCTGTATCACAGAAAGAGGCGCGCCGGCGTCAGCCGGCAAAGCCGGCTAGTAACTCTAACGCCAGCACGTCACAACATACCCAACCAAGGTCGTCCCATCCAAAACGTGCAGTAAGTAGAGAAATGACAAAAAAGGGGCTATTGACGTGGGCTTCTTAAGCTGGTAAATTTACGTGAAATTCGGCCAACCTGGCCACAGAGGAAATTCAATAAAATTTAAAAGAAAAACTCCGGTCCCGGTTGGCCAAAACCCGGTTGGTCAAATCAGCATCGGATTATGGAATCGGGCTTCGTAAGTGCGCCGCTCAAATTTAACGTACGTTGGATCATTAGCTGCACATAACAGTGTTCCCAAATGTGAAAGACCTGGCCAAACGACCAAAAGATGAGCAAAAAAAGTTGTGGCCGAGGAGAGCCCCATGATGTTCATCCTGTACAGCAAAATGGGTGGATAAAGTCGAGCGCTGATTGTCTGATCATGAAGATTGACCGTGTTCGAGCATCTCATACTGATATCAATCCACGCGCCTTGTTGTCAAGAAAAAATCAAAGATGTTAGAAGAGTGGCAGGTTTCGCTCTAACCTCACTTGTTGTAGAATGCACGAAATGCAGAACTGAAATTAGAATGCCGCTGGGTACACGAGCAGCGATATTCATCGCCTAAGACGTCATTCACAGCTGTGAAAACGCAACGTGGTCCCTGGCGAAAGATGACAACAACTTGGAACTGACACTCACAAGCGTCCGATTTGTGTGAATGCAGATGAGACAGCCCGGGTTCTGTTACCAGGAGTTACGTTGGCCCAGACGGATAATAACCATGACAATGGACTTTGGCCCTGCGGCTTTCAAACGGCTCCATACAGAAAACAAAATCGACACTGTCGGTGTCCATTGCCTGCTTCCAATCAGATCGACAAAGGGGTGGTAACACACAACTACAGGAGGGCTACCATTGTTCGTCACCTCCAACAGCACTACTGGCAACCGCGCTATTCGCTCAACTACACCGTGCGATTTCAGCTGCCCTAGCTAAAGGGGTCCAACGGCAAAAGCCACGACAATTCATCGATCCTGAAAGGCGCCGGCTAATGCCGTTTGGACTCCAGAAATTTCGGCTCCGAGCTCATTTTCAAATTGCCTAAGCCACCAAATCCACTAAAAACTTGTATATAGGGTAATTCAACATCCTGATTCACGAGTATGATACTCATTCTTTCTTGCGCTGGCGCGAAGAGAGAACACTACGATTACCTCCTGGGCTCAGCCTTAGCAGAGCGCAGGTAACCGTAGTGTCATCCATCAGAGCCCAAAAATGAATGCCATTTTCGTGATCAAGACGTTGAATTACCCTTACATACAAGTTTTTAGCGGATTTGGTGATCTTGCCTTTTTTAAAATGAGCTCGGAGCCGAAATTTCTGGAGTCCAAACGGCATTAGCCCTGAAAGTGGCATCAACAAAAATGCACCCGCACCCGCAGTTGTTGGAAAAACGAAGATGCCAGTAGTTCAAAAGCACCTGTGCACTGGGAATGGGTCACTGATGGAAGATGGATCTACCTGCGATAATTCGCCATTATAGATAGTGGATTAGGGACTTACGTATAGACGACAAGGTGCTGAGTAACTCGATAGGAGAAAAACAGAGAAAAAAGCGGCAACTTCCGCAGACAGAACCCCATTTGATCCCATTCTGGCCTCACTCACATTCATCTCCAACTCTAAGCCCCAGCCGGCCAGGTTGAATCATTGATAAGAACTTATGGGCCTTGTAAGCTGCCGACTTTCATGCTTTTCTTCGTGCAGCTTCGTTTTTTCCACTGTTAAGGAGAGGCCCGATGAAGGTTGTGTGGGACATGGAGGTGAGTGCAACTGGAAAGAAGTAGGCATCATTGCACCCTTAGCCGCCGGCCTCCCTCTCGGGTATTTTTTTTTGCCATCGAACCGGTGACAGAGCTGCCGTCACGGACCACAGTAAACCACTCGACGCCACATTTTCATCCTCTACACCTGATCGCGGACCGTGCCTTCAAAGCAAAGACATTAGTTTTTTGCCTATTTTCCTTTCATGTTATTTCAATAAGACCTCCCACGTTTTCGAAAGGGATGACTCAATGAATAGATTTTGAACTTGTATTGGAAATGCCATAGTCATTTTTCGCATGAAGTTCTTGGCGGATGGCATTTGACTGCCTCTCCTTTGCTCAAATGGCAAAACTACAACGGCTTTGGGAGAAAATAACAGAAGAATGCAAGATGTGAAAAGGTTGCTTACGATTGTTAGGACAAATTTTTGACTCGCGTTTGGATCAGAGCACAAGGAAGGGCGACCTTCCGCGATTTCCCCCACGATTCCGCTGTCGCAAACCGCCATGTGGAACAAGTCCGTGAAGATTTCTAGACTGGGCAGAAACTCGTCGAAGCCAACGACGTCTCAACGGTTCGCATCAGCTGTTTGTCTTTCGACCACTGTTTGGTGTAGGGGCCTCCCCAACAGACCTTGTTTGGTGTAGAGGACCTCCATAGAGTACGTTCAAAAAAAAAAATAGAAAAAATGGCATGGTTGGTGTGTCTAACAATAAAAGCAAACAGCTACCATAAAAGTAAACATGGCAATAATGCGAGCAATTTCAAAAGTTACTTCGTCTTACTCACCCTTTGACAGCGTATAGCAAGTATGCCTTTTTAGGAAGCAACAATATCCGCTTATTGGTGAGAATAGCATCGACGATTTCCTCAGCGACCACCTCAGGTGAGAGATATTCCGTTGACGGAGCAAGCCTGGAAAACAGTTCCCACAACATCATTTGTGAGCTACTTTGTCAGCCAACTCACGGAATTTCGGTAGCCATCCTGGTCCGGATGAACGACGGGCAGATCGTGGTGAATTGGATGTTGCGCCTTCTTTTTTTATAGGTCTCATTCTCGAGAGCTTCCTGAAGCATAATTTCGCCATGCTGATCCAATGAAAGGAAGCAATAATATCGGAAACGTACATCCGGTGAAAAAGCAACGGAATCAGACAGGTCGGAGAGATCTCATTGCTCAGAGTGAATATGTGACCTGCGCTAATGCCCGTACTGTTGCTCAACGTCACACTCAGGAACTGTCTACGCTGGCTAGAGACCCACCTGGCAGGCTGCAATTGGCGAAGTCTAACCGAAGACATCCGGGTGCAGGCAGGTGCTGCCGTGAGTACACACCGCTGAACATTTCTCGAGCGCTTTTCTATATTCCGGTCGTAAATTCGGGATATCGTGTCTGCGTCGAGAAGCATTGTGCTTCGCATTAATAGTTCAACATCTATCCCACTAACCTTATAGTTCTCGCACCCTCAAAGGCAGTTGAAGCGATAATTTAGTACTCCGGCTAAAATGGCAGCAGGTATGCTAAATAGTGGGAAAGGCTAAAATGGTAGCAGGTATGCTAAATAGTGGGAAATGGGGAAAAGCGAAGTGAAACGATCAGAAACCTGCGAAAAAGCCTTTGTTCTACATTAAAAAGTCGAACATTCTGGTACGACCGCTCGAGAGAAAAATCATGGAAGCGCGGGAAATCCACCGCATTAAGCCGGAAATCAACGCAAGGGAGGAGCTACGTGACCTCCTAAGACTGATTGCGTGATAAATGTGACATTAGAGGACCCTAGTGTCTTAGAGCTGCTGAGCAGTTCCTTCCTCATTTATACCGCACGCGCCGCACCGTAGCGCCATCGCACGCGCCGCACCGGCAGGTTCACCCCTCCACCCCTCCCACCCTTGGTAGGTTTTAATGCTAATGTTGATGTATGTTGTAGCTGTAGGCCGGTAATGTATTGTAATTTGAAGGTCTGATGACGGCGTTATCGCCGAAAGCTCACCAATAAAGAATTTGATGCAAGAGCTTCGAAATCATCTGTTCTATCAATATCCATGAAGCTCAGAGATAGCAGTATTCTGCAATATATTTGAAATTCCTGCAGAGCCGATATAACATTTCTCGGGAACATTTTGCTATCTTGCTACGATACATTGCTCTCCACCAGCACGCAGTATTTCACAATGCATCACTTAAATTTTTATACACGTGCAAGCGCGAACGCATCTTCCCCAACTTTATTGCAAGAAGGTTTATGCAGTTTCCCTTCCAAAACAACCGCAATGTAGCCTCGAGGATCACGAATTTGAAAGCAGCACTCCTTGATGCAAGTATTACTGAACGACGCCGTCAAAAGACGTTCTGCATACGTGGAATAGTTTTCCACCGAAGTCGACTACGTTCAGATATGATTGCGGATCTTTGGCGAAGAATTTCCTCGGAGAACCAGAGAATATGTTCACGTTTACGAGAAGATCTTAATCGCCATTTTGAAAGGAAACTCACCCTGTTGAGAACGCGTCCACAATTGTTCCAGCGACCGAGCTTCTTCACAGCAAATGCTGTCCCACCAACACGGCATGTGGTTATTGGAACAAATGAAGTAGACCATGATATGGCTGCGGCTCTTAACCTCGGACCTTCTTTTGCAATAACTCCAAGGGTCAATGACAAGATAGTAGACACAGCGCTTTGTGGAGTGCATCAATTCGCTTACCAGCTACGTTGGAGAACAAATCGTGGGCCAACCGTGCTCAACCGACAAGAAACACTATTGTCTTCGATGCCATTTAAAGGCAAATTCATTCGAATCCCCCCTCCTTCACAAGACTTCGATGCTGAAATAGCTGCTCTTGAGCATAATATCCAACAAATTTACCGGAACGCCATGGAGGAGCCTTATCGCAGTAACTTGAGTCCAGATGAGCGGAAAGGAGTAAGGAAGCTACTGCAAGCGAAGAACACTTTGAGGTACACAGTTGGAGACAAATGTGGATCCTTCGTGGTGATGCCACAAACGTTAGATAAGGCTCTCACAGCGCAAGTGCTTTCAGATACATCGATA